ATATTTCATAAAGCCGAAATGAAAATAAGAACAAACAAACCGCCCGGAGCCGCGGTCAAAATGTATGTACACAGATGAAGAGGGGGAAGAGACAAGAAAACAGCAAATCCGCGACCATCGACCTCAACTCTCTTCTTCTCTCTCTCTCTTCGATGTGGACAGTCCGTCGTCGCGCACCAACCCACGAAATTGTCACCCCACTTGGTCCTCCTGCACCCGTCGGATTCGCCCGTGCCCACAGTCCGTCGTGGCCCACGTCAATCTCGCGCGTTCGGCACCAGTCCGTTGAGGTTGCCCAACTCCTACTCTACTCACCTCTTACTTCGCTCGTGTGTCGACCCTTCCTGATCGCGCAACCCCGAGCTTCCAACAACGGGCTAAGAGAGCTGACTAATCGCGCAACCGAAATTTATAGCGTGCATGCATGCCCGAAGAACACGGAATTACCAGGACTTAGAGTGAGGATTAGAGAGGGAACGCCTGCGTTCTGCATGATTGGCCGCGGTATGGGGGACGTAACCCTTCTCCACGCATCGATCCGAGCATGCAAGCCGCGGCTTACAAAATTTCAGCAAAAAAAAGAGAGGGAGGGCGTGAGAGACGAAGTGCAAGAAGAGAGGTACAATTACAATGGTGCCCGCCCAAAATTACAGTTACACATACGATTAAGGCCGCCCACTAATCAGAGTACCATGGCAGCTGCATGAAGAAGCGCGTAAACAAAAGGCGCCGCGCGGCAGGAAAAATCCTAATTAGTAAATTCCTAAATTCCGATCTAATGCAAAAAAGCAAAAGCACGAACTCTAGAAGGAAAGTCCAGGACTCCGAGAACCATCGGGGGGGCTCGACAAAATTCGAAAAAGACTCAAAGGAAAGATTCAAAAGAACGAAGCAATTTTCCGCGCGATGTCCGCGCCCAAAAGATCGAAACCGAATTGAAAGAAATGGCGTCAACATTTATTAATCGTGCGCGCGGTGGCGCGCCAGACATCCATCTGACCAATCACTCAACCGACCGTCCCAGGACACACCCAGTCCCGAAGAAGCGACGAAAAAAACGAAGAAGCAAGGGTATTGATGCAATTTTCCACCGATCCCGATCTCCCGTAATTGAACCGACCTTCCCAGCTCAGGACCCCTCATTACAGCCGCGCAGAAAATTGCACTGTACAGAAAGTGGTTCGTCACATATGTGACGCCCAGGGGGTTCCAATATTAGCAAGCTCCTGCTTGCTTGTTGACACGTGTCCATTTCTCTAATTAATCGACACGCGGAGCAATTCTCTTTATGCCACTTACCGTTCGATTGTGTGCGGACGTCATCCAACGTGGCAACTTTGCTCTTCTACTACTTCCTCAGATTGGGCTCTTGACTATCCAAGGACGGGATTTTTCTTGTGCTGTTACCGCGACACGCATCCGTTACCGGTTGCATCAGTAATTAACTGGAAGGGGAAAAGGGAACTGGTGCATGGCGGCATGGCGGGGTGGAGGGCTTAGGGGTAGCGGGAGCAGGAATCTTTCCATCCTGGCTGCAGATTCTGGAAGCGCTTGGTAGCAGACGATGTGGTGGAAGCGGGGGAAATGGTTGCCAATGCAAGGGAGGGATGCGAGGTAATCAGGATAGAGGGTGGTGAGAGTTCGGAAAAGTGCCGCGCGGAAACGATCGCGATCTTCGTAGGCGGAGATGGTCCCCGTTACTATGCAATAAACCTCGATCATATTGTGGCCTCTCCACGCGGCACAGGGGAGCAAGAGATGGAGGCAGAAGGTTGAAACGGCGCATCGAATGGAGGGGTGGGGATGCACCACTATAGCGAGGCGAGCAACGTAGAAGTGACGAAAGGTATCGCCGGGGAAACGGGTTGGAGGGGAATGTAACGGGGGTGGTGAGCTGGTGGAGGGTGAGGTATTCAAGGGGACGACGAGAGAGCGATCGGGGACGAAGACCGATCGCCCGTATCGGTATGTTGGTGAACTGTGGGACGGGTTGGGGAGGAGGGGGATCGGCTCCGTCACCTCGCTGATGAGGTCGGAGTCGTGGCCGTGAGGTCGCCATGTTCTGGTCGCGGCGGCTCCGGATCTCGGTTTGGGTCGTCATGGACGTAAAAGCTTGCCTCGCTCGCAAACTCTAGCTTCCTCTTCCCGGCCGCGGTTTCTTCCCTTTTGCGGGACGCCTCCGGATCTTCAGCCTCCGTGCCCGTGCGCAGCACTTCTTTCGGCACAGCTTCCCACTCCGATTCCGCAGGTCCTTCGTTCTCCTCTTCTCCTTCGTCGTCTTCTTCTTCTTCTTCGCTCTGCTCCCCCTCGCTATGCTCGCTATAGCTTCCTTCTTCGGGGGTTTCGTCGTCTTCCACGAGTACTTTGTCGCTTTCCCCACTTTCTTCCCGCTCGTCTTCTCCTTCGTCACTCTCAGTGCTTTCTTCCTCCTCTTCCTCATCTCGAATGGTAACAAGTTCCTCTGCCGTTGGATGCCTGAAGAAGGCAGGATCGCGAACCGTCCGGGGAATCAAATACTGCTGCTGGGACGGCGGGATGCGCTCTGCGGCTCCCTCCGCACAAGCCGACCACTGGAGATATGGCGCCAATGTGCGAGAAATCATATGTGGAATCGGGTGCTCGTCGTCTTGCGAGATGAGGTCGAGAGGGAGATCGTCCGCCAGCTCTGCTACCGGGATCGTGAGCTCTTGCGCGATGAGTTCCTGATGTCCGGGCCGCACTGTACCGCCGAGCCTGGATGAACAGCAACTCCAGGTGCTCTATGCAGGCGGGCGCGCTTTGTCCTCGGTCCACGTCAGCCGTATCTCAACCAAGCACAGTGAAAGCTCGACGAAGTCTTCGCGCCACAGGTCCCGATGTGGGGGATGAGTGTCGGGGACCGCAAGGGTCCTTAGACAGTAGGAAAGGCGAGGATGGATATCGGACTGGCAGAAGGTGGGGAAGGTGGAGGGGAGATCAAAAACGGAGATCGGAGAGAGACTCATTGGGGGCGAGGGAAAGGAATAACAACAGGGAGAACCGCCGGYGGATCACGCTGGTACATCYGAAGGCCGTCGTATTCGATCGCTCGTGTCGGTGCGACCGTGTCCCCGGGGCGAGCCAGAAGCTGGGTCCACTCGGCGACCAGATCGTTTGCCCACGCGCGCAGCGAGGTCTTCACTGCCGAATGTCGTAACAGGAGGAGTGTGGAGAGATCGCCACTGGAGTTGATGACGACCGATATGCGGCTGACACTTGGCACCGCTCGCTGATGAACTGCTACTGCCTCGGGCAGTACCACTGCGCTGGGCCGACCTTCGATTCTGAACACCGCCGCTGCATACACGCCTTCTGTGCAGAAAGAGTGCGCACGATTCTTCGGGCGATATCGCGTGATCGAGCTCGGCCCCAACGTTGTGGACACCGTGCGCCTCGCCCCTGAAGTCTCTGGCAGTCGATCGGCCCGCCCGATCACACGCCACGTGTCCTATCTTCGCCTCCTCCCCTCTGCTCCGTCTCCTTCTCTCTCGATCTCTCCTTCTGAGGAAGCCGAAAACGACGGTTCTGATTCTCCGCCATTTCCCTCTTCCTCTTGCTCCCCGTCACCATCGCCATCGCCATGAACTTTCTAGAGGAAAGAGCTCTCAGTGAAGACCACGTCCCCCAATTTATACTGGGGCCGCGGACCCGAATACCCATTTCGGGCCTCATAGCTCCGAAACTGCCGGCCTTGGGTTAGTTCGGTCATTTTCTGTCATTTTCGGGCTAGCCTGGGCAGT